AAGAACCCTAACAAAAAAAAGAGGAAACCCTCATCACGAACAACAAACGGTGGCGCAACAAATCAAAATGTTCAGAGGAAGCCCGAAGCTTCATCATCATCACCCTTTAGGAGGAACAAAGAAGAGGATTGCGTTCGGAACTGCGAGGTCGTCACCATCACCGTTCGTCAAAAGACAACTGGCGGACAATGAACCACCGGCCTCAGATGAACATCATGGGCCGAAAGTCATAAGGAAAACACCCACAGATCTGTCATCATGAATCAAAGAGAGTCACCGGTCGGAAAAGGGTAACATTCGAGTGAATCTTTTTATTTTTTTGGTTGTTTATGTTTCAGGTAATCACGGTAGGAAGTAAATAAGAGTGGATCGTGACATGCATGGGGGAAGGAGAAGAAGAATAGCTCAAAAGAGAGAGCTTCCATGGCCGCCGCGAAGATAAAGGAAGAAGATGGGTCAATAAAACTCTAGAGAGCCAAGCAATAAATACCCCTTCCCCCTTTCATTTATTCTGATCTTTTTTTATCTTTATTTTAATCTTATTTCTTAGTTTATGGTGTATTAATGTAATTAATTTAGGAAATATAAAAAAAATCCTTATTTTTAAGACACATAAAAGAAAATTAATTAAAATTTAACTTTTTTTCAGTAGAAATTAAACCTCTTTTCTAAATTAAACCTTTCTTTTTTTAAACTTTTTTTTAATAAAATCCTAACACCTCTTTTATAAAAATAAAATTTATTTTTTATTAAATTTAAAACTTTTTTTTTAAGAATAAATAAATTTAACCTTTTTAATTAAAACTAAAATTTTTTTTAAGTAATTAATAACAACTTTTCTTAAAATTAAAATTAACATTTTTTAAACTAATTTTTTAACTAAAGTTAAATCTTTTTTTTTTTTAAATTTAAAATTCTAATTTTTTTTAACTTAAATTTTTAATGTTTTTATTAATAAATTCTAACCTCTCTTTGAAAAAAAACACTCAAACTCTCCTTTCTTTCTTAATTAAAAGCTTAATATTTTTCGAAAATTGAAAACTAACATTTTTCTATAATTTAAATTAATTTTTTAAAAATATAGATCTGACACTTTTTTTAACACTTTTCTTATTACTAAAAAAAAAATTAACTCACTTTAAAAATTATTTTTCTTAACATTAATTTTAAAACTAATTTTGTTCTAATAGAAACTTAAAACTCTTTCTTTATAGTTAAAATTCAAAACTCTATTTTTATAATATAATTTAAATTTTTTATAATTAAAACTTAACTCTTTTTCAAATAAAAAAAAAAACCTTTTTGAAAAACAAACTTGCAATCAAATTTCCTTCTTTGAGAAAATTAAAAATCATCTTTCTTTTTATTTAAAACATTTAACTTAAAACATTTAAATTTTTTTTATCATTTAAAACAGATTTTCGAAATTTAATGTAAATCAAGTTTTTCTTAAAATTTAATGTAAATTAAATTCCTCATTAAAACTTACTATAAATCAAGTTTTTTTTATTGAAACTTAATGTAAATTAATTTTTTTGTAAATCTTAATGTAAATCAAATTTTTTTAGCAAATTTTTAGCTTAAATCAAATTTTTATGTAAACTAAATGTAAATCAAAGTTTTTAATAACTTCTAGATAGTAAATTTTTATAACTTATAGTTGGTATTTCTTTTTTTTAAGTTAAAATTATTTTTTTTTAATAAAAATTCAAAAATAAAAAATTCATAATTTAGCCGTTTCACTTTTCATCTGACCGTCATTTGGTTCTCAGTTGTACGCTTACTATTTTAGGATTTGTTACTCACATTTCATTTTTTTGGTTGTAATTACGCGAGGCTATCGTCGCAGTTATTTATTTTTGTATTTTTGGGAGTTGTAATTGACGCGAGTGATCGTCACGATGCTTTTTCTTTACTGCTTTCTTTATTTTTCGTACTTTACTGCCATATAATAATTCCTCATCTGTATGATTTTTACCGTTTAACTTCTGATGGATTAGGTATAGTCGTTGACCGCCGAGTCAATAACCCTAAGCTTTGACTGTTTCCTAACCCTAGTAGCCTAGGTGTCCCGCCGTGGACAAAAATGCCCTTTACCCTAGCATTAGGTCAAAGAGTCGCCGTACTCTGTTTAAGGGTTTCCCGCCGTGGAATACATAGCTAACCCTAATCTCAATTCAACTATTTCGACGTAGAAATAGGAGTCACCGCACTCCACGTAAGCGCTTCCCTATGAACGCTTATTCCCCATTGAAACCTTGACCATAGTCAAGAAGTTTCTAACCTCCCTTTCAAGGGGAATTACGATTACTCTGATTTCATTCCCTATCTAGGATACGTAGGCACAAGATGCGAATCTTGCCGAGTAAACTTAGGACTGACCCTTAGGTCTTTCTTTAACTTTCTAACCCTCAGCATATATCCTAAAGCAAATAATAAAGCAAAATAAACAAAAGGTTCCTATAGGGTACTACAGAAGCTTAGGGTGCTAATACTTTCCCTAAGCTTAACCAACCCCTTACCTAGATCTCTCCCCGCATTGTCCTTACGATGCAAAAATTAAGTTTTCCCTCTTTTGACCTTTTCCTTCGGATAAATCAAATAGCGGTTGTGAACTAAAGATGCGATTCAAATTAGTTAATAATTTGATATCATATTCTAACCGCAACAGTGACCATAGGGATGAAATCAATCATGCTTTTACTTTCTTCCATATGAAACAATTCATACGTCCTTTTGTGAGTTTGTAACCTCACCTCTTTCACCTTCTCTACGCCTCTAAACGATTTCTCCAAGATTTCTCATGCTTCTTTCGCCGATTCGACATCACTAATCTTTTCAAAATTATCTGAATCAACACATTGATGAATTATAAATAGAACTTTATAATCTTTCTTCTTCAATTCTTTGTATGTAGTCTTTTCTTGATCTGTTGCGTTTTCTGCAAGTGGTGTTCTCCTTCCTTCACAAGATCCTAAAGATCTTGATAACAGAAAACCACCTTCATCTGCTTGCACCAATTCTCATAATCCTGACCCTTCAGAATTGGGAGACTCACAGGAAAATGCCCGCTTAGATGATTCATCGCCATCTCGTCCACAAATCACAACCAAAGCTTTAGATACCAGATGTTGGAATTAACTCAAAACTTTGAGAATTCTGAATCAATCTTGATGAACAAGATTCAATCAACTGATCGAAATCCCTTATTCTTCACTTGAGTAAATCAATCACGCCTTGATTGCAAGAATGATTATGCGCAACAATTATTAATGGAAGAAGAAAGAAAAATGAATAAGAAAGAAGATTAAGGTTTGACAAAATAGGGGAAGGGGAGAAGATGATTTCTATAGGATAACTCTTTGCTCTCAAACTAAGAAAAAAATATTATTCAACTATGCAACTGCACTTTCTGTTGTATGCTACAATTCATAATAGGGTTACTTCTATTTATAATTGAGTTAACTTGTTCTCTAAGCTAAAGACAAAAATATACAAAAGCTAAATTTTTTTATTTTGGTCTAAGTTGAAATCCTGTGTCAAGTAACCTACTTCGACACTCCGTCATCTAACATAACTCGACATACACTACAATAAACTAATTTTGACACATTCTTATTTCTGTCGAACTACAACTTATTCAATACAAAAAATTACATTCTCAACGGAATAACTCTCCCTCATATATATATATATATATATATATATATATATATATATATATATATATATATATATATATATATATATATATATATATATATATATATATATATATATATATATATATATATATATATATATATATATATATATATATATATATATATATATATATATATATATATATATGCTAAATTACACCCAAATATGATTCAACTCTATTAATAAATTTTCATCCCAATCTCATCCTGAGTTAAGTGTTATAATACTCTTTTTCTATTAGTAGATATCCTCTCCGGTTATTGAAAAATCGTAACCATCATACAAAACATTTATTAAATGGTGGTAGTCATGAATGATTCTCTCCTCTACATAGTAATATATATTGTGTACACTTTAAATTTGAATTTTTATTATTACTAGATGTTGAATCTTCTAGAATTTTTGAATATTACTACTATTCAAGTAATTTTTATAAATAATAGTATTTCTAGTGGAGGAAAAAAATGCATAGTTTTTAAATAATATTTTTATCTTTTACTAGTTATTTTCTATTACGTGTCTCTATCCTAATGGATATAAAAAAAATGATGAGGATGGATCAATTGTTGATGAAAAAAACAACAAAATAGTTGAATGGACTTTATTTACATTTAAAAAGACTTTATTTCCTAAACCATTGGTTCAAATTGGTTTATAATGTGTAACCAAGCAAATTAATTTGTAACGTAGTAATATCAATAAAATTCCCTACCAATTTGAGCAAACATGGGCACATGCCAAGTAGTAAAATTCCAACAATCAATCAATCAATCAAGTCATAAGTAGAAAACATTAAAAAAAAAAAAAAGAAAAAAAAGAAACGTATATTTGAAAAAACACGTAACCGAAGAATCTGCAATTAGCAACTCGCAATCGCAATTAACCAATTATAACAACAACGTGACAACTTGTTTATAGAGCTCTGTTTTTTTTCTTATAAGATAACTAGTAAAAAAAACACGACGATTAAATAGGGTAAATAGTGTAATTCATCCAGCTTAGACAAAGTCATAATCTTATTATTACAACAAGTCACAACCTTTTCCAACAACAACAGCACACTTTTCAAACCATGCTTTGATAACCTCACGAACCGGTCAGTCAACATCTCATCACCCTCTCCTCTCGGATCTCCCTCACCTGCTCGTTTCTTTATCATCTCTCCATCACCTCCTTTCCTTTTCCTCACCCCTTAACATTCTTCCTTTTTCTTCTTTGTACAGTAAAATCAACTCTCTCTTTCTCTCTAGAACCATTTTCTCTCCCTCTCTCTCTATAGAACCATTGTCATACACATGTCGTTAATGAAGGTTTTCCGATCTGGCAAATTCTCGAAATCCTATAAGGAGGTTCAATCTCTCGATGTTACCGGCGATGACCGGGAAGGAACCGCCGTAAATGAATCGGAGGACGGAACTGATTGGTCCACCATGCTGCCGGATCTACTTGCGGAGATTATTAAACGAGTTGACGCCGCCGAGGATCAGTGGCCGCACCGTCAAAACGTCGTCGCTTGCGCCTGCGTTTGCAAACGGTGGAGAGATGTTACACGGGAGACCGTACGCTCACCGCGTGACGGCAGAATCACTTTTCCGTCTTGTCTTAAACAGGTCCTGCTCAAGAAATTACTCCTATTTTTTCTCTCTATGTTTCGTTTTAGTTCATGGCCTAGAAAATATTTGAATATATATTTTTTATTTCATTTAACCCTGAGTTTATTAGTTTTTATGAAATGTTTGTGAAGTTAATTTATGGTTTTGGATGTTTAAAATACAATGGAATGGTTCAAAGTAAAAGGGTTTATTGGTGAGTGGTTAATTGTGATTTTGTTGTGAGGATTGTTTGTGAGTGGTTTGGGATTTTTGCATGAACTATGGCAGCAATTGGGTAGTTTCTTAACTTCTTGGAGTGAAATATTTTATTGTTTGAGTTCAAATCTTGTAATTGAGGTGTCTGTTAAGCGGGTATTAGTATTGATTTATTGTTGTTTTATGTGTTTCAAGTGCAATAGATGGAAGAATAATGTTCGTGGAACATGATGGGTTTCATATAATAGATTTAATGGTTTATTTCTGCAGTGCTTGTTAATTGATTTTACTGCGATGAATGTTTCTTTGTTTGTAATGATTTCATCATATTGTTGACTAATTTTGTTCAACTCTGATTTGTATTGAATGAGACATAAATTGAATTAGGAGGTTTCGGTGTTTGAAAATCTTGTTATGTTTTGACTAATTCCAGCCAGGACCACGCGACCTACCGCATCAATGTCTTATTAAGCGGGATAAGAAGACCTCCACATTTTACCTCTATCTTTCCCTTACATCATGTAAGTACTTTTTTTGTAAAATAATTTTTTGGCTTGTTTCAGTGATTGTTGAATATGAATTATGAAGGGGGTCACTTCTCTTTATATTTTAGATTTAAACTAGAAATATTTCTCAAAATCACAACACGCTAGCTAGTTAGTTGATGTGACTGAGTCCAAGGTGATTTGCCAGTCTTATAAAACCTTGTTCAGTTTACTCATGTTAACTAGTTCGGTTTCTCAAATAAGCTATGGAATTCCAATTCTTGGCTAATTAATGGCAGCAAAATTACTTACTGTGAAAATATGTTTGGTTGCGGTAAGTTTTTGACTCTTCATTTGGTTTAAAAATCTTAGAGTTTTTCAATTATTAGTTAAATCATAATACTATGAGGGATTGTAATAAATCAAGGCAATTTGTGTAGTAGTTTTTTGTAACTGTGATGGTGATTAAAATTTCAAATTATGATGGTACAAGGCTTACTTTTCTAAATATTTCAACAAATATAGCTGGATGATGTTGCACACCTAATGGTTTCTGTTTTATGTTTTCCTTGATGAGTTGGGAAGTTAATGCTTTTTTTTTTGCACACCTCTTTTCTGTTATGCCCATCGTCAGCATACACAGATAAAGGGAAATTTCTGTTAGCAGCTAAAAGATATAGGTGTGGTACCCATATTGAGTATGTTATATCGCTCGATGCTGATGACTTATCCCAAGCAAGCAATGCTTATGTTGGCAAGCTAAGGTAAAGTTTTCTTACAACAGATAATGTTAATATTGATGAAATTCTAATAGTCTTAACCCTCTCAGGGTTATCTATTCAAATTCAAAAACTGAGTTGTATTGAAACCTATACCAAAATCTGTATTCATAGCTTGGAGGTTGCCTACTTATCTGGTTTTTTTATTTTCTTTTTGGATTGAAAAACCATTAATGGAACTTGTAGTTAGTCTTTTGCTTTGTCTTGCGTACTTACTGACCAAGTTACTAAAATGTCTTTACAGCTCGGATTTTCTTGGCACCAACTTCACAATTTATGACAGCCGTCCACCCCATAATGGTGCCAAACCATCGTGTGCCAAAGCCAGCCGACGTATTGGAAGCAAACAGATAAGCCCTCATGTTCCTCAAGTACCTGCTGGTAACTTTGAGGTGGGGAGCGTCGCCTACAAGTTCAACCTTTTGAAATCAAGAGGGCCAAGGAGAATGACTTGCTCTCTGAAATCTACTGTCTCATCAATGGGTGAAAGCTCAGATGACAAGTCTTTCGATGGCCACAAGACGCACTCTTGCTCTCTGAAGTCTACTGTCTCATCAATGGGTGAAAAAAGCTCAGATGGCAAGTCTTACGATGGCCACAAGATGCACCCTTGCTCTCTCAAGTCTACTGTCTCATCAAAGGGTGAATGCTCAGATGATAAGTCTTTTGCTGACCACATGATGCCCCGGAAAAAACCTTCTGTCCACACAATCTTGAAAAACAAAGCTCCAAGGTGGCACGAACATTTGCAATGCTGGTGCTTGAACTTCCATGGTCGTGTGACAGTGGCATCAGTGAAGAACTTTCAGCTGATTGCCACCATGGACCAGAGCCAACCCGAAGGAAAAGGAGATCAAGAAACCGTTCTCCTCCAGTTTGGTAAAGTAGGGGATGATACTTTCACCATGGATTATAGACAGCCCTTATCTGCCTTCCACGCATTTGCGATTTGCTTAACTAGCTTTGGCACTAAACTGGCTTGTGAGTAATATATAGTTTGGGTATAATCTGCTTTTATTTATTCTCTGAATGATATAAAGTGATTAGTTGTTATTATTTCCTTTTAATTCGACTTAATTAGAGTCTTTAATTATTTTTTGCAAGAAGCTTGTTGTGAATGTTATATTGTTACTAATTAAAATCAATACAACATGGCATCTTCCAAAATCATATATTTATGGTCTCTGCCTCAGATATCCTTTTACGTTATATATTATATTTGCTTTTGTGTGCATATTATGACAATGTTCTAAAACACTGATGAAAGAAGAAATTTGCTATTATTAATTAAGGATTGGTTTTGATAAAAAGACCAAATTATTTAAAAGAATGAATGAATATCAAACATTTGGTATCTGTAATTTGGATTATTATGGTCTACCAGAAAGTGGTTGGTTTGTATCCAACAGAAGTTTATGGAAAAAAGGCATGCTGTGGTGGGTAGGTGTGAGAAAAATGATGCATGAATCGTCCATGTGCGGTTTATTCTATTTTCAATATAGCGTTTTTGGGGCCATCCCTTGATTGAGTGAAAAGGAATTAAAAAGTTAGGCTCCACTGCTTAAACTTGAAAGGGGTATTTCCATTTATGAAACTAATCCACGTGACAAAATCTTTCGTAAACGAGAGGTATTTAATTGATATCTCCATCCTAAATTTTAGGGATTGCTTTTTCCACCGCTTATCCACGGTGAAAATTTACTAATGCTTTATAATTTGGATTTTATTCTCCAACCTATCTAAAATGTCAAATTCTCATATTTTTGCCAAATCAAAGGTAAAAAAATAATTCAGATTTTAAATTTTGAATTCATCCTAATCAAATTCATTTTCAAACTTAATTTCATAATATTACAATTTGAAATTTCATAATATTACAATCTAAAATATTCTCACTAAAACACACAATCCTATAAATAAAGTTACATTGTTTAAAAATTTGGTTAGTTAACTAAATTGTATACTTAATTGAACTATATTGTATTATAAAAAACTGAATAACTGAACTATTTAATTAAAATTTAAAATTAGTTTAGAATCAAATTTCTTTAAAAACTGATCTAATTATATAAATTAATTATTTTTTAATAAAAACAATAAAAAATTAACTACAAGTAACAAAAAATTTTGAAAATAATTTTTTTCTTCAAAAATTAAAACAAAAATCTAAAAAATATATTTTTTATTTCTTGAAAATAAATTTTTTCTTAAAAAAAAATTGTTCGAAAATTGATTTTTTCGAAAATACGAAACATCGATTTTTTTTCGAAAAATACAATAACTCGATTTTTTTTCAAATTTACGAAAAAAAATCTATTTTTTTTTTCCAGAAATACAATAAATCGATTTATTTTCAAAACTACCAAAAAATATAGTTTTTTCATAAACACAAAAAATCGATTTTTTCAAAAATATGAAAAAGTCAAGTTTTTATCGGAATTATAAAAAAAGTTGAGTTTTTTTCGCAAATATGAAAAAGTTGAGTTTTTTCGGAAACATTAAAAAATAGAGTTTTTTAAAAATACGAAAAAAGTCGAGTTTTTTCAGAAATATGAAAAAGTAGAGTTTTTTTTAGAAATATGAAAAAGTCAAGTTTTTTCATAAATATGAAAAAGTAGAGTTTTTTTTTTCTTCAGAAATATGAAAAAATTGAGTTTTTTCAAATATATGATAAAGTCGAGTTTTACAGAAATATGAAAAAATCTAGTTTTTTCGGAAATATAAAAAAGTCAAATTTTTTCGAAAAAATGAAAAAGTCGCGTTATTTTTCTTGAAATACAAAAATATTGAATTTTTTTTCGAAAATATAGAAATTCGAGTCTTTTAAAAAATTAAAAAGAATCAATTTTTTTTCTAAAAATACGATAAATCGAGTTTTTTAGAAACACGAAAATTCGAGTTTTTTTTTCCAAAAAATACTGAAAAATTAATTTTTTTTGAAAATGTGAAAAACGAGTTTTTTTTTCCCAAAATACTGAAAAATCAATTTTTTTTCTCGAAAAATGAGAAAACGTTGTTTTTCAAAAATATAAAATATGAAAATAAAAAAAGTAATTAAAAAAAGTAATTTTTAAAAAATAAATATTTTGAAGAATATATTATTTTTTAATATAAAATTTTTAAATTTTTATGAAATTAAAAAATTTAGTTTTAAAAGAGTTCAAAATATTTAATTGGTTTAAATTTGTAAACCGATTATAAGCTAGTTTATAAATATAAATTAGTTCTGAACTAATTTTAAATTAAATTGAAATTATTTTAACAGTTAACTGAATTTTTATTGAAATGATTATTGTAAACTGAACCAAACCATAAATATGGTTCGGTTCAATGCACTTCATGAATCATGAACACGCCTAATTACAACATAATTAGAAGCAAAATTCTAAAGAATAAAATTAATTAACATGAATATTTCATTTGATATACATAAAATATATAATAGAATTAAATAAGTTTGTGATCTCTATAAATATATTAAATAAATTTGTGATCTCTATAAATATTTCAAATTTTGTTTTTAGTCATTTTAAAATTTTCTTTCAAATAATAATCATTCTACAATTTTCCATCTTCAATTTTGAATTCAGCTATCTATTTGCTCTAATGAAAGATGACGTGGCACGCCGCGTCCCTTAAAATTAATACTACAAAAAACAAGATAGATTGCGAGGGTTTGTAAACCCGTTTAAATAACTAAAAAACAATAAAAAAAAAAAGAAAAAAAGAAAAGTCTTCTTCCTCCTCTTTTCTCTCTTTTACAATTATACAAATGCATTTATCTATTAAAAATAATATATTAATGAGTTCTCTTGAAATGCAGTAGATGTCATATATTTGAGAGATGTAATGATTTGAGATCATTCAAGTAAATGCATGCTCAACTCTTGACTTCTACCTTTGTTACCAATGACTTGGTTGTTCCAAAAGCTGTAATCTTTTTTAGTAAACATGTCACTGATATTCATTTATGAGATTGTGCTTGATGTGTATACTGTCATAACAGCTTTGAAATAATGTGCTAAGTAAGGTGTTTATAGCATTTGTGGGAACACTGTAGATGTTGGGAAGGTGTTTGATGTTATGCTTGTGAGAGATGTAGTCTCTTGAACTGGTTTGACAAAAAACCAACACTAAGTTGAAGTCACCAAGCCTAAAAAGTATGCACTAAGCTGAAGTTATGGAATCATCGTTTAAAACAAATAGAGCCATACTCTGTAACAAACTTGGATTATACAACCCTCATACACAATGCTAGTGCACTATTATATAGCATTTCAGGATTAGTAAGGAAGAAGGCTCAATCCCGCCGCAACTCCGCATCATACATACTAATAATAATACTGATGTCGAGCTTGCATTCAATTTAACAATTAAACTCACTCCAATTTACAGCCATACTCTAATATTCATTTTGTCATAAACAATGCAAATTACAAAGAAAAGAAAAACACTATCAAGTTGTCCATTCACTCTTGTACATTACATAACTTCACTTATGTGGGATGACCTTTTTTTTTGCAAGAATTCTCTGATCACCGCAATTAAACATGAATCTCAATTTCGGCTAACCAATATTATGATATTGCATCTCCTTCGAGTTGAAGAATTAAAGGTGTGATATCAATCATTCTAAATCCAAGATTCAAGAGTAAGAGTTAAAAACTAGCCCGACATGGTAAGAGAAGACATACAAATGGATGTGGAAGGATCAACTTGATCTTGTATATGCATTGTTGCTCCAGCCAAGTAAGCTTTAAGAGAGACAATAGATGCTGACATTGTTTGGGAGAGAAACAAACATCTAGTTTTGGTGCCTAGATATAATTGACATCCAGTATTTGATTGACCACGAAAATGTCATGAGATATATAGAAATGATTTGTTACTTTATGAGGCAAGACATATACACTCTCTCCTTGAATTAATAACATCATTTTTTTATATATACTTTTGGGATTATGCAAGAATGATTTGAAACAATTCAGTTTAGAAGGCTTTGTCTGGTTTACGTCTTGTCTGGTATAATTTGCATGGTTTATAAAATGAAAAGTTTCTTTAACATTAAGTTCATGATTTTATACAACCATGTTTCAAGAAATAGTTCAATCAGTCTTTCTTTCCTATCATATTTATGTTCATGGAGATAAGTAATTATTTCTTATCATATTTTAGACAACCATGCATGTGCTGAGTGAAAGTAAAAATGAAGGGAAAATTGCAGAGAAATGCCAAATAGGGTTAGAAAATTCATTCTATTGTTTTACTTGCATCCCATTCAAAGATATATATTCTAAGTGTAGTAAATTCCATGTGTTATAAGTTTTCTAGATATGTTTGATATGTGTTATAAGTTTTCCAGAGGCAAAACATAGACGATTGAGAAATGAAATTATAAAGGCGTTACTTCTACATAAAATCCAACCGCACTTCTAGAAAAATAAAATAACAAGATCCATTAGTGAACAAAATACACGAATTTGATATATATATATTGATTGTAAACAACTTTTTCTTCTGGGTCATGACGAAATGCCTTGTTAAGTTGTCTTTTCTCCATATATAACATGAATCCAAAATGAATGAAGAATTGGTAGAAATAATCTAAACAAACTACTATAAAAACTCTGTTTTCCTGCGGATTTACCTGCGGATTTTGACAAAATTTTCGCAGGAAACATATTACCTGCGATTCTTCCTGTCATTTTCCGCTCCCAGCTAAAACCTTCGTGGATAACTACCTTAGCAGGTAAAGTCGCAGGAAAATGTCGCAGATTAAATAGATAAATTCGCAGAAAAAGCCGCTGGTAGTTGTAGATTTCGCAGGAAATGTCGCAGCAAAATGTGAATTCGCAGGTAAATTCGCAAATAATTTCTCTCTCAGGTTTTTAATTTTTATTATTAATTGTGTTTAATTCATATTTAAAATATTATAGATATTGTTAAAAATCAAAGTAACAATAATACTAATTTTCTTTAAAAGTATTTT